ATTATTTAAAAACTTTTTTGTTATTTACTCAAACTTATTTACTTTACCCGTTTCTAAGTTATACCGATTTAAAGTAAACATTTCTTGATTAATAAAAAATGTGATTAACGCTTATTTTTACAAGTATGCCATGAATGTTAGTTACTATGGCAACCATTGTTATCGCAGTTGTTTTAAGTGCAATTACAAACAATAGATTTCAACTATTTTAGTATGATTTTATTTATTATTTTTTATCGATTTAGTTCTGATAACATGATAAATAAATGAAAAAACAGTAAAATACCTACAAGTTAATAACCAAAATTATCATTGCAATTAACTACATAATAAGACATTTCAAAAATTTTTTTCAAAATTATGTCCATCTGCTCGAACACAACTATCAAAAACTTTTAACAGATGAGCTTGGGTCACTTGTAGGAGAGTCCTTCTTGTGATTACGGCACACGCTGCACTAATTTTGTTGGTGGTGTAATGTCCGGGGACCTCGCCGGCCACCTTACCGGTCCATTAGTACCAAACCATCTATTGGGATATTCTCGGTTCAAATACCTCCTTACTATTTGGGCATTATGTGCAGGCGCTCCATCCTGCTGTAGCCACATATTCATTCTAGTGTCAAGAGGCACTTCTTCTAATAGTTCCGGAAGTGTAGTTTGAAGAAATCTTAAATAGCGATCTGCATTTAAAGTTCCTTCGTAAAAGTAAGGTCCAATAAGGAATCCATTTAATATGCCGCACCAAAGATTGATACTAAAAATTCGTTGGTTACCTCTTTCTGTAATCCAACGAGGATGGTTTTCGGACCAAAAACGACAGTTGTGTCTATTAACGATTCCATTATTTTGAAATCGACTTTCGTCGCTCCATAAAATTTTCGAGAGAAAATTTGCATCTTGGCTATACAAATCGGACAATGTCGCTAAGAAATACATTCTTCTAGCATAATCGCCTGGTTCTAGTTTATGAACTAGTTTACTTTTGTACGGGTGAAAAGAGTTTCTATGTAGAATTCTCCACGAAGAACTTATGGTAACACCGGTATTTTCTTTTATCTCTGATAGGGATATCTTGGGGTTATTATCAACCTGCTGAATTACAGCAGTAGTATCTCTTTATGTTTTATGAAGCTGCCATATTCTCTTAAGTTTTTACATAAACTTGAAAAGGTTTTCGCATCGGGGACTCTTCTATGCGGATAACGCCGCTTCTCTACAATTGCATCTGCATTCTCCAGACACCAGTAACATGTCTACTTTTTCCTCATTGCTAAATTGCACCATTTTCACATAATAATTCTTAGTTTTTTTTAAACCGAACAAATTTGAATATTTCTTGTGACAAAATGTGACAATTTTTTGATACAGCAAGAACAACTTACGTTTGTAATTGCACTTAAAACAACTGCGATAACAATGGTTGCCACAGTAACTAACATTCATGGCATACTTCTAAAAATAAGCGTTAATCACATTTTTTATTAATCAAGAAATGTTTAATTTAAATCGGTATAACTTAGAAACGGGTAAAATAAATAAGTTTGAGTAAATAACAAAAAAGTTTTTAAATAATATGTACTTTTGTATGCGGGTATTTCCAAAGTCTCTGCAATCGAATAATTTTTCGACGCGTCGCGACGCCCAGCTCTTTGCAGGCGTCGAATTTTTTAAATTTTAGGAAATATCTACTTGACTCCACACTTTGATTACTTTTTACATAAATTAAATATTTCTGTGCAACTTAAATAAATTTTTCCATCATGAAATACATGAAGCTATGTGTTGTCTAAATATTACGGTAAAACTGTAGGTATTGGAGTAAAAATAACCAATGACGGATGAGAAAAACTCATACGCAACATTCACAAGAAATAAATGTTTGGGCCGGGATTTTGAATAACCGAATTATTGGATCTTATTTACAATTTCTTGAAAAAAAAAAGACGGGGATCAATGGATTGACCTGCAAGATCTCCAGTTATAACTCCACTGAATTTTTTTTCCTGAGGATACTTCAAATTAAAAGTGTATAAGGAAAAATCACAAACCTTATGAAATAAGGAAAAATAATAAGCAATGTTTCGGAACTCTCTTTAAACCGGTTATTAATATAATATTGCCAAGAAATTAATGATGGGCATTTCTATAAATTATGGATTTTGTAAGTTTCATTTGGATGCCTTAGATTCACTTTCTTTACTAGCAGAATGTAATTATGGAAACCTTGAACTATACTGGTTATCTGTCCATTTGAAAATAAAATTTCTGTTTTTTATTATTTTACTCATAAAAGGTAAGAGATAGGTTGGCTCCATAACTTATGCTAGTTTAACGACATTTATTTTTTGAGTCACCTTGTACATTTTCTATGTAGAAAAAATTGTGATGAATGTGTGCGAGATTTTTTTAAAAACCCAATAACTGATTTTTTTTCCATATTTTAGAAGTTCACTGTATAATATTTGTATGTATTTTAGATTTTTGATAAAAAAAATTAAACGATTTTGCTATTATTGAACAACATCAACTCAAGCATGACATTATATTTTTCGCAATTCAAGCTAGATTAAAAATAAAAATACTTCAGCATTTATAAATCACACTTCTATTTATATTATTCTTGATTTATTCGTTTAAAGGTCCTACATTTGGTTCAAACAAGATTCGTATGGTTTTCGTTTTATTATTTGCAGCGATCTGTTACTGTTTTTGCAAATAAATAAAATTATATTCGATATCTTCCTCTGATTAGCAAATTTAAAATTATTACTTCAAAAAGAAGTGTGTGCGCCTGGTCATCCAAAAACCAACGAGAAAACAATATTTAACATTTTCTTACAAGTTGAGAATGATCTCCATCGAGTATAGTATTTTGTTTAAACGGCACGGTAAATAAACAAAAGTGTATCCCCGATGAATGAGAAAAATTCATACGCAACATTCACAAATAGTAAATGTTTGGTCCGGGATTTTAAATAACAAAATTATTAGACCTCATTTCTTCGATCAAAATTCTACTTTCTTCAGAAAAAAAATAGACGATTTTTTTGTGGAGATATTTAAAATTAAGTGTCTATAAGGAAAAATCAGAAAATTTAGAATAAGATAAGAAACAAGGCAAGTTAATGAACCGATTATTATTATCAAGATTATATTGTCAAGAAATTAATGGTGGGCATTTTCCTTGTTTCTGTTTATTTTTTCCTAATTTTAATCATTGTCGATTCTCTAATGGGTCTTTCTGGATATTTCGAGTAAAACAAATTACAAACTTCTTCTTGAGTTCTCGTTTTGTCTCCATATCCCATAAAAAATAAAATTTCAATTCTGTTTGATTTAGATGCGCCATATTTACTTTCTTTACTGGCAGAAATGTAATTGTGATAATTTAAGGGCTTTACTGGTTAGCCTGTTCATTTGAAAATAAAATTTCTGTTATTTATTCTTTTACTCATAAAACAAAGAATTTGGTAACGATCCCTACATTTTGACTCACCCTGTATATTTTATATATGGAAAATATTGTGGTGAACGTGTGGGATCATTTTTTTTCGAAATCCAATACCCGATTTTGAAATGAATTTTTTTCCATATTTTAGCAGTTCAGTGTTTAATATTTGTATGTATCTTCGATTCTTTATATAAAAAAAAAATTAAAGAATTTTGCCATTAGTGAATAACCTCAATCCTAGAACACCCCAAGCATGATATTAGACTTTTCACAATTAATATTAGACACGATTAAAAATAAAAATACTTTAAAATTTATCAGACTTCTAATATAGGGGTGGGTGGGGCAAGGAGAGCACTTCAAATATTCTAAAAAATAGCTTTCTATGTTATTATGACCGAATTATAATTAATTTATTAAAAGCGTTCTTTTTTTTTTGGATGTTTCTATGGATTCGGAGCATAAGGCCAGAGCTTTTGAAAAACTTATAAATACCAATAAAAAAAATTAATCTATGGAAAAATAGTTACTAATCAGTTTTTTTTATTAATTACCTTTTAATAAATAATTGCAATTAATATATATAACGTTATAAATAGGGCAGAGTAGGGCACGACGGCCAGAAGCTTAACCAAAATTTGGGTAAATTTAGTTAAGGTTAGACTCGATTTGATGGTTAGAGCCACAAAAAATAATAAAAAGCTTAAGTGGCTCGCCTTGCCCCAACCCCCCTAGGCATTGATCAGCTTAATATAATTAATTATCCTTGGTTTCTTCGTTTAGAGGTCCTACATTTGATTCAAGCACGATTTTCATGATTTGTGTTTTATTATTTACCGCGATCTGTGAATACCTTTGCAAATAAATTAATTTATGATGGATACTTTCGTGTTATTAGGGAATTTGAAAGTATTACTTTAAAAAGAGGTTTGCAGTGCGTCGGAAATCAATCGAACTGAATATGTGGAACGTTTACTCGATTTTGTTTTGCGGAAAACCCATAATACCACTCGCTGACTCTCGTCTATCGCTGAGCTTCATCAGAAAAACCTAAACATCCGTCACTCGTACTTGACTCGTCGATGAGTAGTACAGATATTACTTTCTCATCCGCTCTGAGGTTCCTGCTCCGTCGGATAAACAACTTCCCCGTAACGACAACGAATCACTTTGGTGAGCAAATTACCTCGCCGTCCGCTTTTTTTACTTACTTGCACGCGTTAACTCGCGCGGCACTTGCAAGCGTTGCGAACTCGAAAACAAGAACAAAAACTTTTCCGAGAATCGAGGCGCTCGCTGCACGCGTCGTCGAATTAAACGTTAGTTCTCGAGACCGACGACGGTGGCGTTATAACGTCGGGAGGCGGGGCGCGCTACCCGCGGCGGCCCGGCCAACCGGCGGCGAGTCGCGAGCGACCGTTGCCATGGCGACGTCAGTCCGTGGCCGCGTATTGGGCGCGCCGTCGCCATGACGATCGCCCTCCCCTCGCTGTTCGGTATTTGACTACCTAAAGCTCTCGGTACTTCACGTCGGGCTTGTAGTATCTAAGTAAACAGGCAGCGAGGAGTATTTGTTTTTCCAATCAGTGCCGGTTTGGAATACCCAAAGTGTTAACTTGTTTGTGAAACCGTTCGTGATGTAAACAATGAAACAAAACCTCCGGCGACGAGTTAAGATCGAATCGATCGGTGCGGGCGATAATACGGCCATGTTTTAAGTGCGGACGGAAAAAATGCTCGCGCAAAAGTTGTACCCGGACGTGAGCATGGCTACGTCGGCCAACGCTATGACTCCGATGACGCCGACCACGTACTCTATGAATTCGATGTCGTGCGTGCCCATGGCCCGGATGAACTGTTCCCCGCAGACCCCGATGTTCGGGTCTGGAATGTTAACGGGCGACATGTCGAATAACATGTCGATGAACCCGCGGATCCAGCAGCAGGGCATCAACGAGTCCCCCCAGCTAGGCTACACCGCCATCGGTTCGCCCATCACCAACATGGCATCTTGTATGGGCACCACGATGTCGGGTATCAATAACGCGTACCCGCAAATCGGTCGCGGAGATCTCGGCGGAGGAGATACCTCCCCCAACTCCGCTTTGCAGAGGGCCAGAGCGGATAAAACCTACCGGCGGTCCTACACCCACGCGAAGCCGCCATATTCGTACATCTCGCTGATCACGATGGCGATCCAGAACAGCCCGCAGAAGATGCTCACGTTGTCCGAGATCTACCAGTTCATCATGGACTTGTTTCCGTTTTACCGCCAGAACCAGCAGCGCTGGCAAAATTCCATCAGGCACTCGTTGTCGTTCAACGACTGCTTCGTGAAGGTGCCCCGCACCCCCGACAAGCCGGGAAAGGGCTCCTTCTGGAGCCTCCATCCGGACTCAGGCAACATGTTCGAAAACGGCTGCTACCTGCGGCGCCAGAAGCGCTTCAAAGACGAAAAGAAGGAGATCATCAGGCAGTCGCATAAAAGCCCGTCGCACACGATGGACAACAGCAACAGCTCGGGAAAGAAGACCCCGCTGCACGGCGAAGACAAGGGGCACCATTTGGAGAAGACGCCCGAGAATCACCTGAGCTCGATGATGAACATCCACCCGGCGAAGCTCGACGTCGACCAGATGAACTTACTGCACTCGAACGATTTGAACATGCATCAGCAGCACCACCACCAGAACATGTCGCACGAGGAGATCTCGGCGATGCTGAACCGCAGCAACCACCTGGCGTTGAGTGAGCACCAGGCCATGTTGCACCACGGCTCGATGAGCCATCACCTGAAGCAGGAGCCGGCGGGTTACACTCCCTCGAATCATCCGTTCTCGATAACGAGGCTGCTGCCCAACGAGAGCAAGTCGGACATCAAGATGTACGACATGCAGTACGGATACAACACGCTGAGTCCCCTTCCGAACGCGATACATTCTCACACGTCCCTGGGGAACGACTATTACAACAGTTCTTCGTTGTATCACACGGCGACGGGGACCACGAGTTTGTGACAGTATCCTCTGGCTTAGAAGCGATCCTTCGTGACCTCGAATATTCGAATCGTTTTGTACATAGTCTTGGTGGTTTTTCGAAAATCTCATTCACCGATCGATCTGTACGCTTTTCTGCTAAAGTGGGTTCGCATTTTAGACGCGTCGTGATCTACAGCTTCTGTATCTCCGCTCGAAAGCGAAGCGAGTGTATAGAAACGAATGTACATTCTGTAATTACGCTGTACATTTTAATTTTTAATGAATATATTGTGATGTTCCCGATATACTTGTCGACGGTCGAAGTATAAAAAATATATATATTATAAGGAAATGTACAACCGTGAACTAAAAGTGTTTGTACATATTCGTAAAAGATATAAATAATTTATGTAAAATAATTTTTATCTTATAATAAATGTTCGACATCTTTTATTGGGCGTTTGGTTTTATTCCAATTTGAATGAAATTCGTTAGTTTTATTATAACTTCGTGATTTTGTTATTGCTAAAATTCTTACTGCTTCATGAATATAGATTACATATCGAGCTTTCATTTGGGTATAAATCATCCGGTAAGTGATTGAGAAAAAAAAAACACGTAACAAACCAGAAATTGCCGATATTAATTATATTAATAATTATCATACATTATTATACATTCCTAATTAACAATAAACTGAAAATGAATTTTAAAAAACAACTTTTATTATATTTTTTCAGAAAAATAAAATTAACTCTATAATTACGGCGTACATTTTAATTCAAAATAAATATATTGTGATGTTCCCGATCTACGTGTCGAGTATAAAAAAATATATACATTATAAGAAAGTGTGCAATCGTGGACTTAAATGTTTGTACATATTCGTAAAAGATATACATAATTTATGTAAAATAAATTTTATCTTATAATAAATGTTCGATATCTTTTATTCCTGGTCTGTTTTTATTCCAATTTAGTGTATGCAAATTGAGTCTTTTATAACCACTGCAAATTATTAAAGTTCCCTTCCGTTTAATTCAAAATAGTTTTTTTAGAATTTTCGACTTTAACAAAATATATGAAATTGGTTAGTTTCATTATACCTTCGCTACAAAAAGTGATTATGATTTTCTTATTGCTAAAATTCTTGATCCTTCATGAATGTACATTACTTTGATGCCTTTAACAATTCATGGGCATTCTAGTTAACTATATCGAGCTTTCATTTGGGTATAAATCATTGAGCGAGTGATTGAGAGAAAAAAAAACACGTAACAAACCAGAGCATGTCGATATTGGTCGTAATAAAGCTATCCTATTGCACTTTCATGAAGGTCACAGTAGGAATACTATTGTCAATAATTAATATACATTTCTAATTAAAAATAAACTGAAAATGAATTTAAAAAACAAGTATTATTATAATTTGTCCGAAAAATAAAAGTAACTCTATACTCTACGCGTACATTTTAATACCTAATAAACATATGGTGATGTTTCCGATCTACGTGTCGAGTATAAAAAATATATACATTATAAGAAAGTGTGCAATCGTGAACTTAAATGTTTGTACATATTCGTAAAAGATATACATAATTTATGTAAAATAAATTTTATCTTATAATAAATGTTCGACATCTTTTATTGGGCGTTTGGTTTTATTCCAATTTGAATGAAATTCGTTAGTTTTATTATAACTTCGTGATTTTGTTATTGCTAAAATTCTTACTGCTTCATGAATATAGATTACATATCGAGCTTTCATTTGGGTATAAATCATCCGGTAAGTGATTGAGAGAAAAAAAAAACACGTAACAAACCAGAAATTGCCGATATTAATTATATTAATAATTATCATACATTATTATACATTCCTAATTAACAATAAACTGAAAATGAATTTTAAAAAACAACTATTATTATATTTTTTCAGAAAAATAAAATTAACTCTATAATTACGTGTCGAGTATAAAAAAATATATACATTATAAGAAAGTGTGCAATCGTAAACTTAAATGTTTGTACATATTCGTAAAAGATATATATGATTTATGTGAAATAATTTTTACCTTATAATAAATGTTCGATATCTTTTATTCCTGGTCTGTTTTTATTCCAATTTAGTGTATGCAAATTGGGTCTTTTATAACCACAGAAAATTATTAAATTTCCCTTCTATTTAATTTTAAATAGGTTTTTTAGAATTTTCGACTAGTTACTTTCACAGAATGAATGCAATTCGTTAGTTTCATTGTAACTTCGCTACAAAAAGTGATTATGTATTTCTTACCGCTAAAATTCTTGATGCTACATAAAAGTACATTACTTTGATGCCTTTAACCATTCATGGGCATTCTAGTTAACTGTAACGAGCTTTTATTGGGTATAAATCATCGGGTAAGTGATTGAAAGAAAAAAAAAACACGTAACAAACCAGAAATTGCCGATATTAATTATATTAATAATTATCATACATTATTATACATTCCTAATTAACAATAAACTGAAAATGAATTTTAAAAAACAACTTTTATTATATTTTTTCAGAAAAATAAAATTAACTCTATAATTACGGCGTACATTTTAATTCAAAATAAATATATTGTGATGTTCCCGATCTACGTGTCGAGTATAAAAAAATATATACATTATAAGAAAGTGTGCAATCGTGGACTTAAATGTTTGTACATATTCGTAAAAGATATATATGATTTATGTGAAATAATTTTTACCTTATAATAAATGTTCGATATCTTTTATTCCTGGTCTGTTTTTATTCCAATTTAGTGTATGCAAATTGGGTCTTTTATAACCACAGCAAATTATTAAAGTTCCCTTCTATTTAATTTTAAATAGGTTTTTTAGAATTTTCGACTAGTTACTTTCACAGAATGAATGCAATTCGTTAGTTTCATTGTAACTTCGCTACAAAAAGTGATTATGTATTTCTTACCGCTAAAATTCTTGATGCTACATAAAAGTACATTACTTTGATGCCTTTAACCATTCATGGGCATTCTAGTTAACTGTAACGAGCTTTTATTGGGTATAAATCATCGGGTAAGTGATTGAGAGAAAAAAAAAACACGTAACAAACCAGAAATTGCCGATATTAATTATATTAATAATTATCATACATTATTATACATTCCTAATTAACAATAAACTGAAAATGAATTTTAAAAAACAACTATTATTATATTTTTTCAGAAAAATAAAATTAACTCTATAATTACGGCGTACATTTTAATTCAAAATAAATATATTGTGATGTTCCCGATCTACGTGTCGAGTATAAAAAAATATATACATTATAAGAAAGTGTGCAATCGTAAACTTAAATGTTTGTACATATTCGTAAAAGATATATATGATTTATGTGAAATAATTTTTACCTTATAATAAATGTTCGATATCTTTTATTCCTGGTCTGTTTTTATTCCAATTTAGTGTATGCAAATTGGGTCTTTTATAACCACAGTAAATTATTAAAGTTCCCTTCTATTTAATTTTAAATAGATTTTTTAGAATTTTCGACTAGTTACTTTCACAGAATGAATGCAATTCGTTAGTTTCATTGTAACTTCGCTACAAAAAGTGATTATGTATTTCTTACCGCTAAAATTCTTGATGCTACATAAAAGTACATTACTTTGATGCCTTTAACCATTCATGGGCATTCTAGTTAACTGTAACGAGCTTTTATTGGGTATAAATCATCGGGTAAGTGATTGAGAGAAAAAAAAAACACGTAACAAACCAGAAATTGCCGATATTAATTATATTAATAATTATCATACATTATTATACATTCCTAATTAACAATAAACTGAAAATGAATTTTAAAAAACAACTTTTATTATATTTTTTCAGAAAAATAAAATTAACTCTATAATTACGGCGTACATTTTAATTCAAAATAAATATATTGTGATGTTCCCGATCTACGTGTCGAGTATAAAAAAATATATACATTATAAGAAAGTGTGCAATCGTAAACTTAAATGTTTGTACATATTCGTAAAAGATATATATGATTTATGTGAAATAATTTTTACCTTATAATAAATGTTCGATATCTTTTATTCCTGGTCTGTTTTTATTCCAATTTAGTGTATGCAAATTGGGTCTTTTATAACCACAGAAAATTATTAAAGTTCCCTTCTATTTAATTTTAAATAGGTTTTTTAGAATTTTCGACTAGTTACTTTCACAGAATGAATGCAATTCGTTAGTTTCATTGTAACTTCGCTACAAAAAGTGATTATGTATTTCTTACCGCTAAAATTCTTGATGCTACATAAAAGTACATTACTTTGATGCCTTTAACCATTCATGGGCATTCTAGTTAACTGTAACGAGCTTTTATTGGGTATAAATCATCGGGTAAGTGATTGAGAGAAAAAAAAAACACGTAACAAACCAGAAATTGCCGATATTAATTATATTAATAATTATCATACATTATTATACATTCCTAATTAACAATAAACTGAAAATGAATTTTAAAAAACAACTTTTATTATATTTTTTCAGAAAAATAAAATTAACTCTATAATTACGGCGTACATTTTAATTCAAAATAAATATATTGTGATGTTCCCGATCTACGTGTCGAGTATAAAAAAATATATACATTATAAGAAAGTGTGCAATCGTAAACTTAAATGTTTGTACATATTCGTAAAAGATATATATGATTTATGTGAAATAATTTTTACCTTATAATAAATGTTCGATATCTTTTATTCCTGGTCTGTTTTTATTCCAATTTAGTGTATGCAAATTGGGTCTTTTATAACCACAGAAAATTATTAAAGTTCCCTTCTATTTAATTTTAAATAGGTTTTTTAGAATTTTCGACTAGTTACTTTCACAGAATGAATGCAATTCGTTAGTTTCATTGTAACTTCGCTACAAAAAGTGATTATGTATTTCTTACCGCTAAAATTCTTGATGCTACATAAAAGTACATTACTTTGATGCCTTTAACCATTCATGGGCATTCTAGTTAACTGTAACGAGCTTTTATTGGGTATAAATCATCGGGTAAGTGATTGAGAGAAAAAAAAAACACGTAACAAACCAGAAATTGCCGATATTAATTATATTAATAATTATCATACATTATTATACATTCCTAATTAACAATAAACTGAAAATGAATTTTAAAAAACAACTTTTATTATATTTTTTCAGAAAAATAAAATTAACTCTATAATTACGGCGTACATTTTAATTCAAAATAAATATATTGTGATGTTCCCGATCTACGTGTCGAGTATAAAAAAATATATACATTATAAGAAAGTGTGCAATCGTGGACTTAAATGTTTGTACATATTCGTAAAAGATATATATGATTTATGTGAAATAATTTTTACCTTATAATAAATGTTCGATATCTTTTATTCCTGGTCTGTTTTTATTCCAATT